CACAATCTATCGTTGCGACTTCACTTGCGACCACCAGGAATTTTGGTTCGGTAACAGGGTAAGGAATTCGCGCAACAAATTGGAAGCCGTTTCGCATGGTGATCTTAAAACTTCGGTTGGATCCTCCTTTGGCAAGCTTTTCGAAACCGGCGACGTCACCTTCTTCTTGCTGAACCGCTAGGGCAGCAAGGCGCTTCAGTTCAGAGACGTTGAAAGTACGTCTCCTCTCGCGGCATCTTAACGCGTCATGATAGCTAGAGTTGTATGTACATCAGTCGAGCAGTTCAGCAGGGTGGAGGCGCTAGCCCGCAACATAAATCCATCGTCCGGTTGTGTACGGAGTACTCGAACAAGTCACAAGGTTCAGCCATCTTCTGGATTGTCGAAAAACCACGCGCGAGTGCTAAGCTTGTCTTGTTGAGGGGGGGACGTAACTAAACAAAAGCAGAAAATATTATGCCATCTTCTAAACACTTAGCCATGGCCGGATGAAGCGAAAAGGCAGTGGGAGTTAAAAGGCAGGGTTTTAATACGCGCCTCAGGCCCTTTAATCAACACGTCTGAGAAAGTCAGAATGACAGCTTTCGCATTGTTTCATTATAAGGCGGCGTGGCCATTTACATTTTACCACTAGGCTAAAAGAAGAATTAACAATGTCATACCTTGATATCGGGCCGTATCCTAAATCGAAGATTCGATTAACAAATGATCCGGAGGAGAATCAAACAAGAACGAGAAACGACAAATTTAGATTCCGCAGCAGGGCTGTTGTGATAGAATTGCTGTCCTCAAGATAGTCAAAGAACTTGGCCACGACGCTGCTCATGCTGGAACGGTGGCCTTCGGGCTCATTCACAGTGGGAGTAGTTCTGGACTGTAACGATTGCATGGATACTGACTGTCACACGAAAATATAGAATCAACACCAGCGCTTCTGGATCCTTTTGTGACCTTGGAGTTAGGTTTACACACTTTCTGCTTGGGTATGTAGCATGGGCGACACGTTTGGATACGACCCTTTCGTTCCTCTTGTGTGATCGTGGTGACAGCGTGGGCAAAAACGCCCATGTTATAAGAGATAATGTTGAAGCCGCTGGAAATAGCTGGATCAACATCGTAGCCACTATAAACACCTCCTGGTGGCTTGGCTGGCGTCAAGATAGCTAGAAGCCAATTCCAACCTCTCATGTTAACCTCTCCTAGCGCACTTTGGGGGGTTGATTCGTAATGGCGAACTTGAGCATTGCGATACCTATGCCGCAACTAATCAGTTCATTACGCAACGGGCTATTATCACAGCCGGAAATATGAGAATATATTTTGCTTTTGCGCTGCGTCTAGTTCTATATCATGACGTCAAAAAAATCTACCCAAACAGTCTTTCCGGTCTCAGCAACAAACAGCTGAAAACATTTAGTCCTCCCGCCACAAGCAAAATGGTGAGTGCTAGGCACGAATTGCCTCAGTGCGTGGTTCACTGTTCAGCCAGTCGAACTACATGTTCCGCGCTCCGCAAGAGTGTTATGAATTACCGCCTGGCTGAAACCCTGGCTGTTCAAAACATAATTCAAATTGCGGACGGTGGTTGATAGAAGCACCTGGATTGCAAGGACAATGCATATGAATGTGGAACCTATCTGCGCGACATTCTGCAGGTTGGTGGTGTTGAGGATGTCAATTGATGTAACCTTGATCGAGCATCCCAGCTACATGGTAATTCCAGTTCCGATTCCCATGAGAAGACCGAAGCCATAGATATGTGCGGCTGGTGTCGATGGTGAGGGATAAGCCACAAACAATGCATCAGCAAAAGTTATAGCAACGCCCCACACCAAACACATTGGCATTTGGTACTTGATCATGGAGAGGGTTCAACCACTGGTGAGGTTGAAAGTGATGGCGAACATGAGGTAGAGAAGTACTCGCAGCGTGGCCATGAGCGATATATCGTTTCTTGTGAACTGGAAGTAGACAGGGATATAGAACATGATGAAGAACTCACATGTATTGGTGCAGGTGGTGATGATGTGACACAGGATATGTGTTTGGGACCTGGGTGGATGGCGGGGAGCGACCTGGTCCCGGGAGATGTGAGGGTGCAGTTGTAGTCCATAAAGAGCAAGGAGGACACTATAGATGGAGTATTACCATCAAAAATAGCACAACTATGGCTCCACTGCCACAAGTTGCCGGCGAAGATAAATCCCATAGTGAAAGTCCCGCATTCTTGCGCTCAGGATAAATCCGAGATGGTTCAAGTTAACCAGTCGAACGTTGAAAGACTTCCTGGTGGCTGGATGAATTGCTGGAAGGAAAAACAAGTAGACAGGGCCTGTGATTACACTGATGATAGGAATGATGTAAAAATAAAAAAGGCGACAGAAAAATCTGGGAATCCATCTCCAACCCCAGGTCCCAGAAGCGCGCCCAATTCCAAACAAACCAGTTCCGGAGAGATACGCGCAAGCTCCTGTCTGGTTGTCATCGCAGAGAAGTAGAGTAAACCTCCCAGATAAATATCTCACGCTCCGCCAATCACACGCCCGACAGTAAAGACACACACACTCGGAGCACTACCGCAAAGAGCGGACCCGGCCTGAAACAATGCAATACCTGCAATATGGAGCCACTTCATGTTGAAGAAAAATGTGAAGAGGAAACTTTAGGGAAGGATGACAACAACTGATCCAAGACGGAACCCAGGACTAATCCAAGCGAGTTGATCGACGTCGCGGAAAATCTGAATCTGAATGACGTGCAGAGGAGCTGTCTGCCGCAATAGTGGTATCAAGCCCGTATACCAGAGCTGATAAATAAAGAGCAGCGCAGATCTGAGCCAAGAGAAAGGCAGTAATTTGCGGGCATTGCCATTGTCATCCATAGCGCCGTCTGTATTGCTGAGGGGGTGCCTTTTTCGCTACTTGAATGTTGCTAAAGGCAGTGAGCTTCCATTGCTCGACCTTGTTGACAACCTGATATTCGAGGGACAGAGGATGAGTTGTATCTCAGTCCGCAGTCCCGCATAATCGAGGCAGAGACGGAAGATGATGTAATAGTCATTTGCTTGTACTGTAACTTGGTGTCTTGACTTGCGACAGGGTGATAACCTGCAGTTATATCGCTGCAACACATCTTTCCATCGCAGTAGCGATAAGGGCACCAAACATAACATTTCAGATTCACATTGCAAAGGATCGTGGTGATGTACCCTTTCTATAGAAAGTTCATCTGTCGTTATATATCCACTATAGCCGTTGAATTGAAATACCAGATATCGATTAAAATTTGATCCGCTTTCCGGCACCCAACATGTCGGAGTTAAAGAAGTCATGATTTCAAAATCAGAAAAAGAAGTTGAAAAATGTATTCATAAGTACTGTACATACATATACTAAAGGATTAATGTCGAACGGTTCAGAACGCAAACGCACAGCCAACACTCGTCGGCCGAACATATGCATCTGATCCACACGAAACTCGGTTTTTGCTTTTGAAAAATGTCCCCTAGAATAGACAGACAGCTCATTTGAATCTGGACTCAGGTTGAACTCAACCTAGAGAAATTAGCTTTGGGGGTTTCGCGTGGAATCTCCCTTTCGACTCTGGTAACGAACATTTGAAGGTTGAGATAGTTTTGGAGACTAGTCTAAACGGCGTTAGATCGCAATAGCTTCCCGTTTGCGCATACTTGGCCGAGCCGCAGAGCATCAATGAAGACACCGTGATATCCACACCGACCACTGCGGGACAAGCACGTAGGCTTCCAGTATGGATGACATCCTCACTCCCCTCCAAGACCTCTTCGAGGCCCAAATAGTGCGTGCAAATTTATCTCCCCCGGATTTGACCCCCTTCCTTCCCCTCTCCGTCACCCTTCACCAATCTCTCCCCGCAGAGGACACTTTTGCTGGACCCGCCTGCCGATATAGAGATAGAAGCAATTGTGCCAATCAATATGCTGTGCACGGAATATCGATGACATGATATGACAGTGTGGGCCCATGATGAACCGGAAGGCAGAGAGCTAATTACCCTTCACGATCAATTACAGGACTTCCACGGCCAACGCTTCGCCGAGAACCTTAATAACGGCATCCTCAGCATCTTCTCCGTAGGTCCCCTTCCTCCCCATCCGCTCACCTACCTCACTCTTGCGGCTGCGTCGGACTCTCCATATATAAGAATAACCAAGCACGGACTAACAACCCCCACCCGGCATTGCTGGAACAACCACACAGGTTATCGCTTTCACTGTTGGCTACGCCTACGAGGATGTACACTTATCCGTCTGGATCGGGTTGGTGGGGATACTCATTGCGGTGCTCGTGGTTGTGCCGCCCTGGCCGATGTATAATAAGCATCCAGAACCGTGGTTGATTTCCGGAGCTGAGGGTGTGGGGACGACAGGGATTGTGGTGGATGGGGCGAAACGGTGATGAATGGTTTGTTTGTTTGTGAGAGAACCCGCGTGGGGGAGGGGTGGGAATGAAAACGTGTGTATTTTGGCTTTTCGTATTCTGTGTTTTTAGCGATGGTACGTTAAGAATTGGAATGGTATGGGTTCGGATTTTTTTTTCTCTTGGAGTTGTCCTTTTTCTTCCTTATATTGATCTTATACATCGGATTGACATTGCTGTTGAGATAGAGGGAAGGGAAGAAAGGAAAAGCGGAAGGGGCAGGGTGCGTAAAAGCAAGGCGTTCTATTCACTTTGCTCTCCGAGCTTGGGGTATTTCCCATGGGTTTCAATAAATAGGCGAAAGAAAAACTCAAAGCCTTCAAGCTTCATTAACATGATGCCGTGACGCCGTAGCGTAGCTACTGTTCTGACCCTCCTTCGTTCAAACTTAGTATCTACGATCTACATAGCTTGGGTCTTGGATTAACCCTTCGCATAGCATTCCCTATCCAACAGTTTCATTTCGGTGTTAGAATCGGCGGGATGAGAAAGAAATGTAGTCCCCCAAGAAAAAAAAAAAAAAATGAGGGAATCGGGTCTCGGTTCGGTTTCGTTGTGTTATTTGGTAATACAATTGTAGCTCTATCGTCCGTATTTCTGAAACTCCCAGTCTCTGTTGTCCAACGGGCATACTAGTCGAGTTCTCAACCATCTGGAGATGCAGTGGAAGCTGTCATGCACGTCTATAAGCCATATAGGTTATCGATGGAGTATTTTTGGTTAGCCTTGG